AATTGTATCAAAAGTTTGTTTATGTAAGTAAGAAATTAAATAATTGTAAAATATATACCAAGAAATTTAATTGTACCATCTTTATTTTGATCTTTTTCTTCGAGAAAATCATATAAAATTTTTTTATTGATTTTGGATAGACGTTTGTATTTACTAAGAGCTAATGTTGCCAGATCAAAGACTGTATGATTGATGGTATGAAACACAACGTATTCCATGTTTTGCAGGCCTAAAGTAATAACGCTGCCTGGTACTAACACTGGGTCCTGGGTCTTTGTGAAATCTTTAAATTTAATGAATTTTAATAAGATACAATATACAAATATATACTACTAAACTAGATAGGGAGGTACTTAGAAGTCTTAAGCACTTCCAGAAAACTTACGATTGATCGTAAAAATAATAATCTTATTTATGTCGTTGTTAAAATTATAATTTATAATTTTTTTGAAAAAATAATGTAGTCACAAGTTAAATGACAACTATTGATTCCATTATATTGTTTTTAATAAATTAACAAAATAAAAGGTTTGGTACAGATCGCCTTTAACAGAGCGTCTTGCTTTAATCACCCCCTTGTCCACCCAGCACGGCAAATCGATGACATAATCAATACACCAAGAAAGACTAACATAATATTTTATGGCAAACGTGAACTCCATTAGCAAATAGCAGTTTTGTTGTCTACCATAGACGATCAAGCCTAAAAAATTATCAGGGACTTGTGTGATGTACCATCAAAAAAATTTACAAGGAGAGGTAATGCTCAGAAACCAAATTCGCTCCACACAATTGAAAATGCAGAAATAGAAATTAATTATAAAATAGAGGTGAATCAATTAACTAATAGTACTTTAAAATTAAAATAGTATTATTCCGAGCAAAATTTCTGGGATGCTTGACGACATTCTCAAAGGCAAGCTCATTTCTAGTTTGTTAAATGAACCAATTTTGTGAAGAGGAACACACTGGAACTATGAATGAGGTGTAAGATTTAGCTCTTAAAAAAGTAAACTAGCATGAAGTAGATCGCAATATCAATTCATGACATGTTGAAATGTAAACAAACTATTATTAGAACGCCAGAAATTTCAATTTACATGTGCCAACAATAACTCACGCTAATCGTATTGTTCATAGTTTTAAATAAATCTATAAATATATATACATATATTTTTAATAAAGAGGAAATATTATTTAACATATAATAATCGGTATGACAGCAAATATTCTTTTATCACTTACTATTTTTACTTAGGAAGTAAACTCTAAATATTTTCTTATTGTTCTAATATTAAAACTATTTTTTTTTAAATCGCTGTTTCGGTAGAAACAGTAGATAATAATTTTTCTATAAAAACAAATTAAATTCTTACTATGTATTTTTTTCATGGTTCTTGCTGTATCTAACTGTTCTTCATTACTAATATCTAGAAAATGTAGCATATTCTCTAAACGTCTCACAACATCTCCATTTGTCAATGCATTTATCTAAAAAAAACAATAACACAATTTGAAGACAATATTATTTGTTAAACCACAATTATTAAAAAAAAAATTTTCTTGATTTTAATCAAATCTAAAATTCTATTATAAATAATGATTTTAAAAAAATAATAATTATTATTTTACCACTCGAGTTATTTGAAAGTTTAATACTTACATTTGATGTTATAACAATTAAAAAAAAGAAAAAACAAGTAAATTGTAAAGTTTTTACTGACATTTTTTCTTTGGTGTTTTATAAGTCAATAGATGTAATATTCATT